TTTCAGTTAAAATCTATTATTTAGTTGTTTTCAAGTCGAACTACGTTTGTTATCATATTACTTCTTCAAACTAATCGTAGAACATTAAAAACAAAAACAAAACAAAACAAATTAATATATTAAATAAAAGAAAAAAAAAAAAAAGAAAAACTCAAGTTGATATGCTAAGTATAAGTAATCCAAATGTCGCAGTTATAGAAAGAATTGTTCCTGATGGTGGTTGGGGATGGATTATTGTATTATCATCTTTCATTATTCATTTTATAATTGATGGGTAAATAATTTAACTTTAAAATATAATTAGTTATTTATTGTTTATATAAATATAGAATAACATATTCAATGGGTGATATCTATTTGGAACCAATGTTATTTAATCTTCAATTTAGTCGGGCTTATGTTTCAGCTATATTTTCTTTATTAGAATCTATTACATTAGCTTCAGGTTATAACAAATGTTCAACAAAAATATATAATTTATTCGATATTTTATTTTATTTTATTTTATTTATTTTAGCACCTATTTCGACAGTTTTTACAAATACATTTGGATGTCGTACAATAACGATAGTTGGTGCTATAATAGCATCACTTGGATTTTTTCTTAGTCGATGGTGGAGTAATGTTTATTATTATTATCTAACGATTGGTATTATTGGAGGTATAATTGAGGTTTTGTTTTTTTTGTTTTTATTATACTGAGAAATATTCAGGCATTGGTTGTGGACTTATCTATTTACCGGCAATTGTTTCAGTTGGATATTATTTTGAAGAAAAACGTTCATTTGCAATTGGTATAGCTGTTTGTGGTTCAGGTTTGGGTACAGTTGCATTTCCATTTATTTTACCTTGGATTATTAATAAATTCTTTTCAAATAATTATAAAAATGCTCTTCTATTTGAATCACTTCTCATATTTACTTGTATATTATTTGGTCTTCTTATGGTAGATATTTTATTTTATTTTATTTTATTTTTTATTTAATTAAATAAGATTTTTATTTATTTTAGATTCCTTTAGCAATAGAACCTAGTGAACAACGTCGTTTACAATCGAAATTACGAACAGAAACTAAACGAAATGTTAACAAATCAATAGAAAACATTGATGACGGAAATAATCAAACTATTAAGCAACTTCCTCAACATGAAAGGTTTGAAAAGAAAAAAAAAACAAATCTTTGAAAAAACTGATTATTTTTCTTTGTGAGCATTTTATTGATTAGTTCAAAAATGTATCTTTGATATATAAACAGTTATTAAATTAATCTTAAGTCGAAATAAATGAAAAGTTTAAAAAATAAATTTCCTAATAAATATATGA